GACTGTGCATTCAGAGCTCTGTTTGGTCTAGATTCCTTCTCTACTCATAATACACTTGAGATTCGTCAGTGCTCTTGCACCAATCAGAAGGATACCATGTCATTACTAAGGATCATCTCACTGAACAAATACATTTTGCTAACCACTCGCCCATCAAAGACCACTTCTTTGCTTCCAGTCTGTAAAAGAAAATTAAGATTCGTGCCTATGAACACGGATGAGACTATGCACACAATCACTTCGTCTAGAATCACTGAACAAGGCAAGGGACAAGGTCAACCTGGATGTGGATGTTTTTCTTTTCCTGACAGCTGAACTTGACTCCAACAACAGCTGAAATTAACATTCCCTCAGTCATCACCCAAATTCCATTCAAATCATAAACTCTCCACTTTGCTGGAAAAATCTGCATCCTCCTAAACTTTTAGTACCATTTCAGGTTCATCTTTATGACATGCTGGATCTTCATCTCATGGGAGTAAGAAAAAAGTCATATCTGTCATAAAATTCTGCAAAGCCTACTTATTCTTCCCCTACTTATGACTTCCCTATTGTTCATAAGTCTATTTTTAATTGCCTGGTAAGCACAGCCTCACTTTAATTTGAAAACAGAGTCCTAACAGTCCCAAAATTGAATCAGTTCTACTCTTTCTTCCTCCACATAGGCTTCTACTCAGATATGGAGCCATTTCAGGCCAGGTGTACACCACTTTAATGAGTAGCCCCTATGTTCCCCTTTCCTCAATGCCACCTCACAGTCACCAGCTCCCTGACCCACAGCATTGTTGTGTAATAGTCCAGCCCTGCCCTTCCATTGGCCAAGCCTACAGCCCTGCCCTTCCATTGGCCAAGCCTACAACTCATTGTGCTCTCCACAAAACAGGCCAGCAAAAAGCTCCTGTTTGGGGGGCAGTCTTGCCTGCCTCCTGCTTGACCACACTGCATGGGCCCAAGCTCCCTTACTCATGGGGGCTTCCGGGGCCCAGAACCTCCTGCCAGGTGCTCTGTGCCTGTCTGCGATCTGGGCAGTGCTGTCCCCCATCTGCTGTTCCCAAGACCCACCAAGGTGGCGCTTCACCTCCTCAGAAGTTGTTATCCCCAGGAAGGTGCCCCACAGAATGGATGGAAGCAAGACGCCAGACCAGCTCTCCTACAGCATGCGCTTCCGCGGCCAGAGGCACGTGATCCACATGAAGCTCAAGAAGAACTTGCTGCCGGAACACTTCCCTGTTCTTACCAACAATGACCAAGGGGCCATGCAGGAGGACTACCCCTTTGTCTCTCGAGACTGTTACTACTACAGCTACCTGGAGGGGGTTCCTGGCTCCGCAGCCACGCTGGACACCTGCTCTGGAGGTCTGCGCGGCATGCTGCAGGTGGATGACTTTACTTATGAAATCAAGCCACTACGATCTTCTTCCAAATTTGAGCATATAGTTTCTCAGCTTGTGTCAGAATATGTGTCAGAGGAAGAAGAAAGGTGTAACATTACAGATGGTGAGGCAAATCAAATACTTGAAGAGGTAAAACTTGCAGAAAGTCCAAGAGCTGCCCCTCCCTATCTGTGGCGGGTACATCGAAAACGGGCACATATTCATTATACAGTAAGTAACTCACTCTGGATGATGAACAGAAACAATACTCGTATTGTAGAGAATGTCGTTATTATGAACAACATCATACATAGCATTTTTCGACCAATAGGCTTAAATATACTCATACGTGTTTTGTGTATATGGCAAGGGGCTGATCCAGTGAATTTAGGCAGAGGTGGACAGTCAATAAATCAGTTTGGTTTATGGAAACTACATTCATGGTATGATCTTATTCCTCATTCTACTTCAGTGCTTTTCACAGGACATAAAATAGGAGGGGGGTCTTATATATCTAACAATGCAGGTATATGTAACCCCAATTGGGGTGTATTATATGTGTATGTATCAAGGTATCACCTGTTTCTGGCTTCAACAATAGCAGCTCATGCATTAGGTCATAACATAGGGATGGTGCATGACTGGGCTGGTTGTGTCTGTTTTCGAAGAAACTATTGTCTCATGACTTCTGCACCTGGTCTTCATGATTCAGTCAGCAATTGTTCTAAGGAAGTCCTACACAGCAAGATTCATGGTTGGGACCCTTGCTTGAGCTTGCATTATCCTCCGTACAATAATTTTCCTTATGTAGCTCCTCGTTGTGGAGACTGGATAATAAATAACAATGAGGAATGTGACTGCGGGTCTTTGAAACAATGTGCCTCAAGTAAGTGCTGTGGAACCAATTGTATTTACAACGTTGGTGCTGTGTGTGACATGGAGCCTTGCTGTAGGAAATGTAAATATGCACATCCTGGAACTCTATGCCGAGATCCGAATGGTATTTGTGATCTGCCAGAATACTGTAGTGGGAAAAATGAAATATGCCCCGATGACTTCTATATCCAAGATGGAACCCCATGTTCACCAGAAGCTGTTTGTATGAGAGGAAACTGCAGTGACCGCGATTTACAATGTCAAGCTCTCTTTGGATTCCAAGTAAAGGATGCTCCTTCATCATGCTATGAAAAATTGAATATAATTGGTGACCGCTTTGGAAACTGTGGACTTAGTTGGCAAAGAGCAGGAGTTAGACCTACGAAATGTGAAGCTGATGATGTTCTTTGTGGAATATTGCATTGTAGCCATCCTGAAGCAGTTCCGGGAGGAGGCGAACACACCACATTTCATGATATAATAGTACAGGGAGCTAAACAGATACACTGCTTTGGATATGATGTACACCAAGGGACGGAGTTACCAGAAATGGGACTTGTAGTAGATGGTGCAACCTGTGGCCCAGGAAAATTCTGTCGTCGACAGAATTGCACTTTTCATCAAGATATGGGTTTTGACTGTGATGTGCAGACATGCAACTACAGAGGAGTGTGCAATAATCTAAAACATTGCCACTGTATACGTGGCTTCAAACCACCAGACTGTGGGGCACCAGGATTTGGTGGCAGTGTGGATAGTGGCCCTCCACCTGACGTAGAAGAAGGTCTTAGAGCCAAAATAAACATCACCATGGACAAGATATTAGTTCTATTTATTGTCAGGTTTGGTCTTTTCCTGGCTTCAGTTGTTATTGGTGGACTTACAAAAGCAAAAAGAGCTATAGAAAAGAAAGTATACCATGATGAATATGAAACTGAATCTGATTAAACCTCACTCAATGGGAGCTACACTGAAGGACAACACAGTGGCCCTTATTGTAAGAGAAGATTAAAGATCCCTCTATGGATTCTGATGTTCTTGCTCTGAAATAAAATCTTGAGGAAACAAAAATGTGTTTCTGTGTGTTAAATTATGTTTTATTATTTATTATTTTCTTAAATAATTTTATTGAAAAACAAGTAGCTATGAGAGAATTTCAATTCTTATAAGTAGGAGAGTTTCAATAACTAATAAATTGCATAGTGTTATCTTAGTGGTTATTCATAGTACAAGAGGCTGACATAATATCCTGTCCAAACACTATTAATACAAATCCTTCTTCTCATTGAATTAAGAGAAAGTAGCTATATATCTATCCTAACTATTTTGTATATACAGATTCAAAATGCTTATTCATTTGTATCCCCTTTTTTGTTTAGTTTTGTCAGAAAAGGTATTCCATTGTATTTAATTATTGTAGGTATGTGAATTAAGTAAAATATTCCAATATAGCCCAATAGTCCATAACAGTAGTGTGTCATCTGCACAATTGACAATGTCAGAAGTTGTTGACCGGACCATTTTACAGCCCAGCGTACCAACATGGCTTCACACTTATAATTCACTTTCTGCTGGATGGTTATTAACAAGAAAAAGCAACACCTATATAACAAGAAATGTAACTTTTGTATCTGATAAGGTCTCTCAAGACCTCTCAGGAATTATCCTGAAATCCTGCACTGCAGTTTATAGATCCTTTGTCAGTGTAAGCTACGTGGATGAATCACGGCCATTGCTTGACCAATTTGCTCTCTGTGAAAGCCTGAGAGACTGTTTTCTCTCCATGTGATTCTCCTTAAGCACACTTTACATCATCACTCATGTTCCTCTGGGCCCCATAATTTCCTTGATCAGAAAATTTGAGAGAAAACTGAGATACATGATATTACAGTATAGGTTTCCTATGTCATGAGATTTCACTGACTTTGAAAGGCTAGGGCCAAAATGTTGACTGTCTTTGCAGTCCTTCTTTTTCTCTAATTTTTAGTCTGCAAACTTAGGTTGTTAACCCTCCAGAAGAGAAGCTTATTATTACCCTACAACATATGCAGGTGGGTTTAACTGAACTGTCTAAATATCAATCATCATAGGCATAACATGGAACAGGTATTTTCCATCAAGTATTTATATGTTGAACTTAAACTCCTTACAGAACATGATGAAAAAACATTTAAAAATTACAATATATTTTTAAAATAGGCATAAAGAATTATATAATTTTTATGTTTACAGGTAAGTCCAAAAATCTAACCGTATACAACCTTGAAGCAGGACAGACCCTCAACATTCCTTTTCCTGTCTCCTGCCTTCATTCACCACCCTCTTCTTTTTGAACATTCATCTGCCTGAGAGACAGCACAGCAGCAACTGGCATGTCATGACAAGCAGCTCGTATTCAGAAGACCAGAATGACAGGCACTACAAGCATGAACTTACTATTACAAATTGCCATCTTCAGTGCAGTTGCTTAATTCACAGGTGTCAGTATATATAGTAAGTCAGGGTGAGAATCTTTCCAATTAACTTCTAGATTCAAAAATCTTCTGGAGATTCTCAGGATCATTGCCTTGCCCATCTACATATAACTGTATGGCTTGTCATTGTCATGTTTCCTAGCTCTTCTCCTTTCCCTCTCTTGATTAGGTAGTCCTCGAGTTCCTGCTTTCCTTTTACTTGTATTATACCTTTCTATTTGTATTTCTTCTTTTGAGTTCTTATACTAGGGAAACTATACGATATTTACACGAGTGTCTGGTTTATTTCACTTATGAGTATATCTTCAAGTGGCATCTACTTCTATATAAAGGCTTTGAGTTTATCATTCTTTATAGCTGAGTAATACTCCATTGTATAAAAATACCACATCTTTTTCATCCATTCCTCAGGTGATGGGCATCCTGGTCGTTTCCAAGATTTGGCTATCACAAATTGTGCTGCTATAAACATAGGCACACATATATCACTATGATATATTTTCAGATCCTCCGGGAAAATTCCCAGTAGAGAAATAGCTGGTTTAAATGGGATTTCCAGTCCAAGTTTTCTAAGGTGTTTCCACATTGATTTTTATAATGGTTGCAACAGTCTACATTCCCACCAACAGTGGAGAAGGGTTCCTTTTTCCCCACAGCCTCTCCAACATTTGTTGTTGGGTGATTTCTTTATGATAGCCATTCTTTCTGGGGTGAGATGATATCTCAATGTGGTTTTAATTTGCATTTCACAATGGCTAGTGATGTGGAGCATTTTTTCATATATTTATTCGCTTCTTTAATTTCTTCCTCTGAGAAGTGTGTGTTCATCTCAGATGCCCATTTCTGGATTGGGTCTTTAAATTTTGGGGCCCTAGAGTTTTTTAGTTCTTTATAGATTCTAGACAGCAGACCTTTCTCTGAGTACTTATTTGTCATGATTTTTTTCAAATTTGTAGGTTGCCTTTTCACTTTGATGGTAATTTCTTTTGACATGAAAAAACTTCTCAGTAACAGTAGGTCCCAGTTGTTAATTCTTTCAACTGTTACCCGTGCAATTTGATTTCTGTCCATGAACTCTTTGCCTACCCCTATGTCTTCAAGAGTTCCTCCTACTTTCTCTTCCAGGAGATTTAGTGTCTCTGCTTTAATGTTTAGATCTTTAATCCATTTTGACTTTAGTTTAGTGCATGGTGATAGACCTCGGTCACGTTTTAATGTTTAGCATGTAGAGAGCTGGTTTTTTCAGCACCATTTGTTAAAGAGGCTGTCTTTCTTCCAGTGAGTATGTTTCACCACTTTGTCAAAGATAATGTGGCTGACTGTTCGTAGGGGCTTCAGTGTCTTCTAATCCATTCCATTGATCCTCACGTCCATTTTGTTGTCAGTACCATGCTGATATTATCACAGTAGCCTTTAGTATAATTTCAAGTCAGGAATTGTAGTGCCTCCTGCCTTGTCTTTATTGCCCAGGATTGCCTTTGCTATTCTAGGTTTTTCCTGGTTAAAAATAAATTTTAGGAATGATTTCTCTAGCTCTGTGAGGTATGTTACTGGTAGTCTGATAGGGATTGCATTAAATCTGTAGAGCACTTTTGGGAGTATGGCCATCTTCACAATGTTGTTTCTTCCTATCCATGAGTTTGGAATATTTTTTTCCATTTTCTGAAATCCTCTACAATCTCTTTTTTCAGAGTATTGTAATTTTCCTTGAAAAGTTCTTTAACTTCTTTAGTTAGATTAATTCCAAGGTATTTCGTGTTCCTCAGTGCTATTGTAAAAGGTATTGTTTCT